CCCAAGTGCTCTATTAATATCCATATAATCAATCAGCAAATCCACTGGGAATTAAGTGCTTATTTTGTGCCAGGTACTGTCCTAGGTGCTAGGGATACAAAAACAAAGAATTAAACAAATTTTGACCTCATGGTATCCAGAGATGTAGAGAAAGACCTCCATTCCCCACTCCCAGCTTGTTGGGTGTATCCCATTCCCATGGAAACTTTAGGCGTATAACAGACAAAGGTAATACTAGGTGGCAATCTGCCATCCTTGGAGGTGGCTAAATAACAGAATATCTAGAGCATTGGACCTAGAACCTGAAAAAATGTAAATTCAAATCCAGCCTCAGACACTTACTGTGTGTCCCTGGGCAAAGTCACTTAATCTCTGTCTGCCTCAGTTTCCTTTTCTGTAAAATGGGGAATGATAATAACAGCACCTACTTCTTAGGGTTGTTGTGAGAATAAGATGAAATGATATTTGCACAATATACACTATAATATTTGTATAATATGTAAGGATTATACTCTTTAAATTCAGTCCTAGACTGAATACTAAGTGGGCTCAGTTCTGAATTACATTCTAATACTTGGCCAGAATAGAATTTGTCAGGTCAGCCAAATATTCTGTTAAATACACCATTTTGTTGGCTTATATTTCGCTTCCAATTTAAGGATTTAGCTCCTAGAAAATATTTGCTTGAAACTAATCCAAACAATTTGAGCTTCACATGGAAAATCATTTTTCCCAATAAATGACAAAGTCTCTAAATAAAGAATGAGATTTCTTCATATAAGAATCTCTTTTGAGAATTCTGACAACACTCAATTTTTAAATCTGATGAATTACTAATGTGGCACATATTAAATTGGTAGGATTTAGATAAGATTTCTTGTCCTAGAAATGGAAGACAGGGGAGCCCTGTGCCATTTCTGATGCCATCTTAGAATAATTTAGTTATCATCAGAATTTAAAAAGGAGATGCTAGAACAAGGCCTGAGCTGGCAATTAAATCTTGAAGTGAACAAATTCATATCCTGGAACCCAGGATACTTGTGTTTTTTCAATTACATCTTTCCAGCAACCTTCAAATGCTTGCTGTTTTGGCTTTTCTGTTTTTCATTCACTAGGAACACAGGAATGTTTGCCACCTTTATTAAAATCTCCTTCCTCTTTGTTTTTGTTCATCTTTCATTCTCAAAGAGGACCAACGACATCACAAGAGTGATATCTTGACTTGCACATGGATTGGGTTTGAGTAAGGGCCCTTGAGTAACGGCCAGGAAGGTTCATCTTTAGTTTACAAGAAAAAGCCACTGACTTCAATCTATTAGTTATTTGGTAGCCATAATTAATAAACTGATTATTAACTACCCAGAAGCAAAGTCGTCAGCCTCAATTTCTCCTCCAGAGTCATCAAAGTCTAGTGCTAAGACAAAAGTTAAGATTACTGATGATTGCCCAGGATGCAGTAGGTCACCTTGGCCTTTCTAATAAAGGTATTTCCCAGGTCTCAGTTTGTCTGAGGCAATGCTATTCAAAGAATAAGGGCTAGGTAAGAATAGAGACAAAAGATGGCCCAATTTACCATCACAAAAATATCAATCTGGGAGGGAAGAACCCACAAATTTTCTGGTCAGAAAAGAAAACAATTCCGCCTTCCTTATATTCTAAAATCAAAACACTTTTTCTGGTGTTTTCATGCAATATTGTATATCCAGGTGTGATTATTCCACCCTTCCTACCCTGAAATTATCCCTGAAGTCAGACTTGTACCAAATGATTTGTGTACTGTCCTTTGGAAAAATAATTAGCATATAGCAGCTATGTCCTTTGGCACAGAAATGTGTCAGTTAAGAATAATTCTACAAATTGTAAACAAATAACATGGAAGTCAATTTCTTTTACAAGCTGTTCCCACTTTCCAGTATGTGGGAGATAACTTCATCCTTCATATGCCTGTCTACTAGGAGAGTTTAATTGTTATTTAAATTACATATTAAATTAGTGGAACTATTGAAGTTAATGGATAAAGTGTCCCTTCAGATATGTAATCTATGGGTTCATTTTGGTGTTAAAGCATATGTTTGTCACATAGCACTTCAAACTTACAAGTGTTTAATATTCACAGATTCATAAGCAAAAAGAAGGAAAAAACCTCAGAGATCACGTTGTACAGATTCCTTATTTTACAGATGAGGAAACCCGCAAAGACCCAAATAGACCAAATGACTTTTGTCCAAAGTCACCCAGCTGAGGAGGGAGAAATCTTAGTCCTAATTCAATAATTGGTTATCATTATGAGAGGAATAATCATTCCTCTCAAGCCAAATAAAATAGATTCTGCCTGGTGGGGCCCATTAGAATGTAAGCTATTTACGAATAGGGTTTGGTTCATTTATTTTATTTGTATACTCAAAGCCTAATATAGTGTGTGGCACATAGTAGTTATTTAATAAATGCTTATTGATTAATTGATTGGAAGATAAATTTGAAACACAAAAAGCAGAGCAAGTAAATTTTTGTTATCCATTTTATGCAGATATTTGAATCACAGAATTAAAAATATTAATTTTTTTTTAACTAGACTAGAAAATTAGATGCTATATTAATTACATGAAGCTAAAGCTGATATTAACAGTTTCAACCTTCTTTTCCTCCTTTTAGATCAAAACTACTTTGCCATCAGCTAGAGCTGGGCAAATAAAGAAAGGTTAGGGATGAGTTGATAATAGTTGATTTGAAACAGAAAGAAGTGGGATTGCCAGTTCTTTGGAACAGCAGGATGATGCAACAGGGGTTCATGGGATGTTGGGCTGCTCCCTACCATAGTTTCCAGTAGAGTCAGAGCTTCCAGGAATAGAGAAGTGATGAGTCCACTGACCTCTGTCCTTGTCAGATCTCCTCTGAAGTATTGTGCCCAGTGTCTACAAGCCACAGTTTAAGAAGGATATTGATACCCTAAAGAATGTCCAGTTGACGGCAACTAGAATGCTGAAGGGCCTTGACTACATACCATATGAGGATAGGCTGAAGGAATTGGATATGTTTAGTCTGGGGAAGAGAAGACTCAGGAAGGATATGATGGTTGCCTCTCCCTTCCAAGTTCCCTTGTTATTGTCAGTGACACCACCATCATCTCAGTCATCAAGGCAGGCTTACAACCTTGATGTCATCCTCAACACCTCCCTTTCCCTCATCATGCACACCCAAATCCTTTGCCAAATCCTGTGCTGTCTTCACCTTTCCAATATACCCCACTAACAGTTCAGGCCTTCATTACCTCTGCAACAGTCTTCAGACTGGTCTCCCTGTCTCAAGTCTCTCCCCACTTCAATGCACCCTCCACTCAGCTACAAAGGTGGCACAGGTCCAACCAAGTCACTCCCATGCTCAATGAGCACCAATGGTTGGTTTCCTGTTGCCTCCAGAATCAAGTATAAACTTCTTCTGTTTGTTTAAAGTTCATTATAACTTGGCCCCTTTCTATCTTTCCAGTCTTCTTACATTTTCCTTCTCTCTTAGAGGCAGTTAAGTGGTGCAGTTCCTGGAATCAGGAAAACTCATCTTCCTGAGTTAAAATCTGACCTCGGAGACTTAATAGCTGTGTGATTCTGGACAAGTCACTTAACCCTCTTTGCCTCAGCTTCCTCATCTATAAAATGAGTTGGAGAAAGAAATGGAAAATCACTCTAGTATCTCTGCCAGAAAAACCCAAATGGGATCTCAAAGTCAGACAAAACTGAACAACAGAGATTAATTGGGATGGGTAAAAGTGGAAGTGGGGAAGTAATGAAGATAGAATTCACTCATTCCCACCTAAATGTAGAGAGCCTGGGGGAATTATTTGAAGGAAAGGGCTAGATTGGAATAAAAAGGTCTTGTCCTGAAGCTTCATTTTTCTATGCTGTAATGATGTGACTCAGCATAAAGAATAAAGGCTAAAATTTTATTGATTAGTCCTAGGCATGCTAGCAGAGAGGCCTCATAGAAAAGCTGCCTAATAACACCTTTGAGAAAGAAGTCCCAGCAGCCCCCCCACCCCACCCCACTCACTACACAAAAAACCCTGAGACGTCAAAAGTTCCGGGGGGGGGGGGGAACAAAACAAAACAAAAAACTCAGCAGCAGATGACCAAACACTTTTTAGAGAAGCAATGAATATTGAGCTACATAGGAAGAGTGCCTGAAACATGAGAAGTGATGCACCTAGGAACATGAATTGTCCAGGGAAATCAATCAATAAACATTTATTAAGCACTTGCTATGTGCCAGGCATTTAATTACTGGGAGACACGAAAAGAAGCAAAAGCCAGTCCTTCCCCTCAAGGAATTTACAATTTAATACACGCCATCATATACAAAGTAAACTCTATTACAGGATAGATAGGAAATAATTAGCAGAGGGAAAGCACTAGACTTGAGAGGGATGACAGACCACTTTCTGTGGAAGACTAGATTACACTCTAGAATACTTAAGAGATTTGTAACTTTCGGATAACTCATAATTGTTTTTCAGTAAGACTGAAACTTTTTAATACATTTCAGGTCTAACATTGTACAGGAAATTAGATAAGAGTGCTCTGCAGTGAAGGTTAATGTCTGTTCAACTGAATCAAAATGGGCCAATAAAGATTTCTATTCCTGCAATGGAAGCTTGTTTAACTGGAATCAAACTTCAGGCTTTCTTCAAGCCATTACAATAATTGAGAAGGGCAAGATCTCTGATTTATTCTAAATTCACTCAAGAAAATTCCACTATTCATATCGTTTAAATAATCTTTTGGCAAAATTCCGTGGACAGTACGTATTTGACCACAACATGAGCGGGCGACAGACATAAATGAATACAAACTATGGGAAAATACCGTCACGTGGGACAGAAAGGCTTCAGCCACGCAAAGGTTAAATTCCTCGGACAGGAGAGCTGGCGCCAGACGCAAGCGCGCTAACGTATTACGCAAAAAGGAGGAAATACTTAGCGCTCTCTTTGCTCAGCTCCGCGTTCTCCAGCCGGAAGTATCCGGTTGGAAAACGTCGCTGCTGGAGACAAAGAGACCGGGGTAATTTGGTTCCGGCCCAGATGGCCTGTCAGTAGGAACTCCGCGGTTAGGAGGAAGGGTCGGTGGACACCGGCTGGGAGGTTTGTCCTTCCTTCCTGGCCGCGGCTGCCATGATCCCGATTCCGCTGGTGGTGCTGGTGATGGGGGGTTGGTGCGCCATTTACCTGGCGGACACCTTGCTGAAGGTGAGGGCCCGGGCCCCTCCCCCTCTTGGTTCTCATCTCGAGGATCCTGGAGCTCAGGTTACGAGAGGGGGACTGACCGGGTGTGAATGGGGGGTGGGGGGGGTCCTGCCCCCTTCTTCCTCCCCCTGAGTCCTCTCTTCTCCCTCTGAGTCCTCCTCTTCTTCCCTAACAGTCCTCCCTCTTCCCTCTCAGTTGTGCCCCCTCCCTCCTCCCTCCAGTCCTGCTCCCTTCTTCCTCCCTCCTCTTCCTCCTCTCTAGTAGTCCTCGCTTTTCCTCCTCCTCCTCCTCCTCTTCCTTGGCAGTCCTCCCACCTCCTTCCTAGTCCTATCCCCTCCCACCCCCTCCCTCCCAATCCTTCCCTCTCCCTCATCCCAGTCCTGCCCCTTCCCTCCTCCCTCTCAGTCCTCCCTTCCAGTCCTCTCTCCTCCTTCTCTCTCTCTCTTCTCAGCACGTGGGCTCACTTCTTGTAACCTTGTCCCACTGGGATAGGAAAGAAGGGGTACCCTGCAAGGTGTGGGTCAAGTTCCATGGGTTTTGTTTTGTTTATTTGTCTGTTTTCTAAGAAATGTTCATGCTAATTCTGTTTCTTAGCTGTGTAATGATTTTGACCAAGCCATTTCACTTTCTCCCCTGGGTGGCACAGTGGGTAGAGGTGATTAGACTTAGAGTCAGTAAGATCTGAATTCAAATTCTACCTCAAGACACTTAAGATAGCTGTGCAAACCCTGGACATAAGCATCTATACACCTCTCAGCCTCAGTTTCTCCATTTGTAAAATGAAGATAATAGCTAACATTTCTGTAGCACTTTCTATGTACCTGGCACTGTGCTAAGAGGATTATTTCATTTAATCCTCACAACCATCCTGGGAAGTAGGTGCTATTATTATCACTACTTTTCACATCGGGGAAACTGAACCCAACAGAAGTTAAATGACTTGCCTAGGCTCACACAGCTAGCAACTACTTCATGGGGTTGTTGTGAGAATCAAGTGAATTAACATGTAAAATGCTTTGCAAACCTTAAAGCACCTATATAAATCCTAGGTTTTATCATTATTTTATTTTATGCATTTAAAAACATTACTCTGAGAAAGGATCCATAGGTTTCACCAAACTGTCAGAGGCTCAGAGGTGGCAGTGGCACATAGCTAGTTAGTGGCAAAGCCAAAAGCCAAGTTTCTTAGCTTCCAATCAGTTTTTTCCCCCCTGCCGTATCAGCCCCCTTCCTCAGTCCCCTAACAATGAAGGAAGAGAATTAAATCCCAATCAGAATAAAAAATTCCATAAATAAATATAATGATTGTAGATTTAGAGATGTAAAAGACCTCAGAGGACCTCTAGTCCTCTTCTCTTGTTTTAGTGATGAGGAAACTGAGGCAGAGAGTTTAAACAGTTTGAGTTCACACAGGTAGTATCACTGGTGAGATTTGAACCAGGGAGCAGAGTCAGCACTCTTTACAGTCTATCAGTTTTTTTTGTTTTGTTTTGTTTTGTGTTTTGGCAGTTGGGGTCAAGTGACTTGCCTAGGGTCACACAACTAGTAAGTGTCAAGTGTTTGGTCTGAGATCAGATTTGAACTCAGGTCATCCTGACTTCAGCACCGGTGCTCTATCCACTGCGCCACCTAACTGCCCCTACTTTATCAGTTTTTAAATGGAATATGATAGTTTGTTACTTGGCCACATTAATAATAATGAAGTGGAAGATTGGTACAGTAGAAAGAACCCTGGCTTGAGAGTACAAGGGCCTGGGTTTAAATCCCCTCTCTTTCCATTTTACTACCTGTGTGACCTCAGGGAAGTTTCCTCACTCCTCTGGGTCTCAGTTCCTTATCTGTCAAATGAGAAGGTTGCTCTGGATGGCTTCTGAAGGCCCTCACCACTCTATGAACAGCAACTAACACCTTCACTGAGGTTATAGATTAAAAAAAAATGCAACATCTTTACTTCAAATGCCATAAAATGGTCAGTACACTGGACTTAGGGTTACAAGCTCTGTATTCAAGTCCTCGTATTTCCTAATTGAATATTGACAATGCACTTTAGCTTTCTGTGACTTAGTTCCTTTCATCTCTAAAACAGGTAAGATAACATTTATATTTCCCCCATGACAGAGTTATTGTGAAAAAAATCTAAACCTTAAAGTGTTCAAGTAAGTTATTATTGAGTGCTTCTTAAGCTTTTTTAAAGAGCCAGATGCAATCATTAGTTGAATCACTTTTGCTTTGGAGTAAGTCAGTCCAGTGCAGTGCATTGGAAAGAATGCTGGATTGGAGTCAGAGGACTTCTATGTTCATTTTGCTCAATTACAAAATGAGAGGATTGGACTAGGTCAGGGGTGGGGAACCTATGGCCTTGAGGCCACATGGGGCCATTTAGGTTCTTAAGTGTGGCTCTTTGACTGAATCCAAACTTCACAGAACCAATTCCCTTAATAAAAGGATTTGTTCTGTGAAGTATGGACTCAGTCAATAGGCTATACCCAAGAACCTAGAAGGCCACATGTGGCCTTGAGGTCACAGGTTCCCCATGCCTGTGATATTTCTAGCCCCAAATCTTTTATCCTAATCTTGATAACCTACAGAAAATGATCTATTTAATTTTCATAAATGTCTTTAAAAGTTGGTCTTCAAAATCACATGATCACTTCTTTCTCCTAGGCATCAGATTCTTTGAAGACTTCTTATGAAGAATGGCTGACATCTTATGGATTGAGCATCTCCCCTTTTCACATACGATGGCAAACCCCTGTCTTCAATCGCCTCTTTTACGATTGGGGACGTTGGAAACCCAGGCTGCTTTACCAGTGGTATTCGTTGTGTGCTGTTTTTTGCTTTAATTGATAATAGGGACAATTATATTAATTTGTTACTCAGGTTAACACTAACATTTGTTAACCTCATAATTTTGTAATCACTACAATATAAAACATGGTGATTTAAAGGCAAAATACCCCAATCAGCAAATGTAGTACAAAGTCATACACATAACAGTACTAAACTCTTGGATATTCATTACATTCAGGTATATATGTACATATGCATTGCTTCTGTTCAGTAAAACAAGTGAGATGTATGTGTAAGTAAATACAATAATTACAAGAATGGGGAAAATATATTGTTTGCATAAAGTGCCAAGCACTATTCTAATTGTTCTACGTACTTAAATTATAAGAGTTGGGTAAACTTGTCAGTTTGTTTTTCAACAAAACATATTTTTGGGGTATATTATTTAGCAGATTGATCAGTTTCTCCTATTTCAATAGACATGTCTGAGGTTGATACAATAGAGATGTGGCTGTATTTCCTTTACTTGTTATTATTTAGAGTTAATAAGTAAAATTATGACTGATCATTGAACCTAATGATATTTGAGGTGTGAAGTACTGCATATTAATCTGAATTTCATCTTGACAGGTTCAATTTAGGAATGGTCTTTGGAATAATTGCCATGTTCAGTTCTATTCTTCTTCTTGGAAAAACCCTGATACAAACTTTGTCACAGATGTTGACTGAAGTCCCTTCAGCTCAGAATGATAGGATGCTACAAGTTGTGGTCAGTGGCTTTTCTTTTCCTTTTTCTCCTTACTTTCTTGAAATGTGTAAAGAAAATGTTTTCCACGGCTGCTTTTCACTACTAATCCTCCAAAGATAGATGTGAAAATAGATTAGAAGTCTCATGACTTTTCCAAATACTGTGACTTGGCTGAAATATGTGTAGATCTCTTTTTGAAAATGAGAGAAATTAATGTGAAAATTTATGGATTTAATAGACATAATTAGAGGTTAATAAAGACTAATAGTAAGTCAGTAATAGTAATAATTTTAGGTTAATAAAGATAAGAATATTAGAAAAATTACACACATTTTTATGCAAGATTGCTACAAAAGGTAGTTTTCTTCTACTCTTCAAAACTATCAATAAGTTGAGTTAATACTTTGGAGAAAACACATTTCATTCATGTTGCTGTTTAAAGATTATCTTTGGGGGCAGCTAGGTAGCACCGTGGAAAGAGCACTGGTCCTGGAGTCAGGAGGACCTGAATTCAAATGCAGCCTCAGACACTTGACACTTACTAGCTATGTGACCCTGCGCAAGTCACTTAACCCCCATTGCCTAGCCAAAATCAAAAAAAATTTAAAAAAGATTATTTTAAAAAAATATTATCTTTGAAAGTAGTATAGTAAAGGGACAGCAGGGCTAGCTTCAAATCACTATATGGGAAAGTTGCAGTTTCATTCTTTTTAAATTTAATACCTCTCCAGTTCTTAGAGTACACTTAAATTGTATGAATTAATACCCTTTTTATTCATAGTAAAATGTTTTTCTGAGCAAACATTGTCACTTATGTACTAGGGTCTCAGTGACATCTACTCACACTTCTCTAATGCTTGAAGGTTTGTAAAACACTTTTCTTGAAGCAGCCCTTTGAAAGTAGATATTGCAAATTAGGTATGTAAGTTTCTATCTTCTCCGTTTTACAGATGAGGAGACTGAGGCATAGAGAGTGAAGTGACTCTTCCATACAACTATTGAGTATCAGAGCTATGGCTTGAATTCTGGGCTTCTGAGGCTAAGACCAGTACAATTTGAGCTCTTTCTAAGGTCTCATTCTGTCTCTTTAAAGTATCTGTTTTTACATTTATGGATCATGTAAATAGTAGCAATGATGCAACTTTACATTTCTCTTGAGTAAATAGCCTCTTCCCTGTTGACTTTGCTGGTGTCAGTTGATTTTTATTAGAAATGTTTACATTTGTCATCTTAATTTCAGTTATGAATGTTGTCTTACTGCTAACACATTAACTCAAAAATGTCTTTAATTTTTAGTAGCAGGTCTTTTTTTTTTTTTAAGTGGCAAGTTGACCCTAGTCTTAAATTGTTACTTACAGTCACTAGTAAGCTTGTTATTTATAGTCACTAGTAGTGGTGAGGCTGGGCTTAGAAATTAGTTGCAGAAAATGAAGTGAACAGAACTAATAGATCATTGTACACAGTAACAGCAATATTGTAATGATAATCAAGTGTGAAAAACTTAACTACTCTGGTCAATAAAATGATCCAAGATAATTCCAAAGAAATCATGCTGAAAAATGCTTTCTCCCTCCAGAGAAATTACTAATGATCTCTGAATGCAAATTGAAGTATAGTTTTCTACTTTATTTTTCTTGCTTTTTTATTTTTTCTGATAGGGATAATATAAAATATGTTTTACATGTTTTCATATGTATAATTGCTATATTGCTTGCCTTCTCAGTTTTGGTGGGGGGGGAAGAGAAAGAGAATTTGGAACTCAAAAATTTTAAAAAGAATGTTAAAAATAAATAATAATTAAAATTAAAAAAAAAAGAAATTAGTTGAGAACTACAGAGAATTGGTCATGTAATAGTAGCATCTAGTCAGTGGCTTATCTGTATTAGGGGGTCCAGGAAAGTTGATCTCTCCTTATCTTTATGACTAGAGTGGTAAAATATCATTCATGTAGAGAACAAGTTATTTCCAAGGTTGGCCTCTCACTTTATTGAGCTTATTAAAGCATTTCATTGTATTAGCAGAGCTATATTTGGGCAACTCTAGGCTGCCCTGAGATTCCCGTGTATTTTTATTTTTTATGTACATGTTTAAGTGTCATCTGCAGAATTAGACTGAAATTCTGAAGCTGCAGGAACGTGTTTTCTACTTACTCTCTAATGCCCTGTGGAATTAGTCTAATATTGTTATTGAACAAGAATTTGGGACTCTGAGTGGTTTAGAGATCAGTATTCTAGTACAGCTAATTCCTTGTGGGCTGCTGGCATGGACAGAATATGGCAAGGGTCAGATCAGATGCTGGTCAGCTCGATATTATGACCAGCCAACTGTTGTTTTCATATTGTCACAAGTTCATGCTTATCTCTCAGAAAAAGAAAATATGGCCTAGTTGATTATCTATTGCTTTATTTCGTATAACAGGATAAGGTTGGCTGACTAATTTGTAATATAGAGAGAAAGTCTGAGAAAAAACATGCGTCTTCCCACCTTCCTTTCTTAATCTTTACCCCACTTATTACCCCATCCCCATGTACCCAATATCCTGATGCTGCTTCAAACTTCCTACTGTAGCATCCTGCCTAAGCTTCCCTTAGCCGTTTATTCTCCAAAATTATCTTCTTTAACATCTTGCCAATCAACTCCCATTCTCTAGACATATTTGATCTTAGCCAGGTGCTAGTATTGAAGAAATTTAGTTGAACTAATTTATAGTGATAAGTGAATGACTGATAGAGCCCTTTAATCCTCCCATGGGTATTAACATATCTAAAACAGGATGGCTCAGGATCAGGAAAATGATACACACAGTGACACAGGGACTCTTACAGTGTCGATGGAAAGAACAGCAACGACAAGCTGCACATTTTGTGCCGTGGCAGAGGGTCAGAGCTTGGCTGTACTCTTCAGTAGCTGTGTGATCTTGGACAAGTAACTTAATCTTGCTGAGCCCTAATTCCTCCCCATTTAATCAAGAGGCTGGATTAAATGATCTTTGTTGTCCTCATCAGTCTAATGCTGTAATCCTAAATATAATGACCAAGCTTGGCCCAAAGAGGAGATAAGAAGGGGGACTATGGATGTAGAATATTACATAACCTGGCAGGCAAGGTTGATGTGTTGGTTAGTTTTTCTGAACTGCCTTTTTCCCCCCTTAATTTTTTGTTTCAGGGAATGGATTAGTAGGTAGGGAGTTGGGGGGGGGGATGTGCAGGGCATCCCAAAAGTTTTAGTGTAAATTTAAGTTCTTAAAGCTTTTTAAAATCACCTTCACTTATCAACTTTTATTTTGGGTTGTTTTTTTAATTATCACCTTCATTTCCAAATATTTTAAGCTTTAACAACTTAAAACTGCACCAAGACTTTTGGGACAGCTTGTATTTTGAAATGGAGGTGATATAATAAGAGATACATCACTATAATTCTTTTAATATAATTTATAAAAAGAATCTCCTAGAAAGAAGGGGAGGGACCAACTTCATTTTTGCTCTGGACCGCTATCAGCACATGAGGTAGCTCAAGTATTAGATAACCTAACACATATGACATGACTCTTTTTACTGCTCACCCTTCTGACTGGCCGGATAAAGAAAAAGGATTAACAGTTACATATATTACAGAAAAATTACTTTAGTACTTTATATCTTTTTAAAAAATATATATTAGTTACTTTATTTGTAACAGCAAAAACTAGAAATTACCTGTGTGCCCAACAACTAAAGAATGACTGAATGAATTATGGAATATTCATAGAATACTAAGATACAGAGCTATGAATGAGTGATAAGAATATGAAGTATCCAAGAAGGGAATGATGAATATAAAGTGAGGTCAGAACTTTATACACATTAATTTCACTTCTCCCCTCATCCGCCCCACTCCACACACACACACACACACACACACACACACACACACACACACACACGTTGTGTCCTTCAGTTAGACATGTTCCTTGAGTACAGGTGCTGTTTCTTTTTTGTCATTATAACCATAGTCTCTGGCACATAGTAGGCACCTCAAAAATGCCTTGAGGCCTACAACTATTTTTTATTTGTCTTTATGTTCCCAGGGCTTATCACTGCCTGACATATAGTAAGCTATCAATAAATGCTTATTGTTTGATTTTGTGTCTGTTTCATTGTTTCTTTTTAGCTTATAATACAATTTTTTTGAATAAAGTAAAATTTATGGTAGAAATTAAAAACTGAGCCATTTATTTTCATGCCTGTTTTGTATGTGGAATATTCACAAGAGCCATGACAATATAACAATAATAACAATAATAATAATAATAATAGGAAGCTAAAGTAGGAACAATTTAAAATAATCTGTTTTTTGTTTTGTTTTGTTAAATAACTTGGTACACTAGTATGTGTTTTGTTGTTTGCTTGAACAGGTTCCTGGTGTAAATTTACCTGTCAGCCAACTGACCTATTTTTTTACTGCAATCCTTATTAGTGGTGTCATTCATGAAATTGGCCATGGGGTGGCAGCTATCCGGTAATGTAATCAGACTTTTTCTCTTCTATTATATGTTAACAAAGTTTTTAAAAGAAGTGTTGTTTCAAAGTTAGCTTCTTAAGTTTGACATCTAATAACAATTTTTAAATGGAAAATGCAATTTACAGTACTTTATTGCATTTTAAATTTGCTCTCTTACAGAATGATATCTTATTTAAGGTAGCTAGATCTAATTCTGCTACAAAATTTGGCAGTCCATTTTACTTTGTCTTTCATGCAAATTATCTTCAGTTTTTTGTACTAATGGCAAGAACAAAAATTGAGAACTTTTTGAAGGAAAAGGGACTTTTTTAGTAAAAGTTTAAATTGGTGTGTAAAAGCTTAGTGTTATATTAGTTCTTGATTTATGAATTGAAGCAACATTACTAAATTCTTATTCCTTTTTCTATTTCTTAGAGAACAAGTTCGATTTAATGGATTTGGAATTTTTATCTTCATTGTTTATCCTGGAGCGTTTGTTGATCTATTCACTACCCACTTGCAACTTATATCTCCAGTCCAGCAGCTAAGAATATTCTGTGCAGGTGATTTGAAATTGTTCTTTTAAGTATCAACTTTATGAGTTCATTTTGTATCTATCCTTTACAGCATCACAAATGAAGACGTCGTGTCTGTCAGAATTTGTTTCTTGGTGATTGTCTGTAACATATAGTAGACATTACTGCTGTTAATGGGAAAGGTTAGTAAGAAGACTGAAGTTGAGTTGAATCTAAAAAAAATAAACTATTCATTTGTACCAATATTTGATTAGGCTTTTGATGAATTGATTTTCATGGTACATTGAAATGCCCTTATATAATTCAGGAAAGTATTCTGTGTTGCAATATATGCTTACTTGCTAAGGTTACATTCTGCAACTTGTCATTCTGGATGTATAGATGAGAAATCTAGAGACTTGAATGGATACTTTTGGATTGTAAAGTGTTTTAGCTATTCATGTCTGCCTCACCTCTCAAGCATTTTCACATCATCATACTAACTTTGGTTTTTAGTTTATTAATAATAATAATGATGATATTGGATTGTGAGTTCTTTGAAGGCAGGGACTCTCATTTGCCTCTTTTTGTATCCCTAGTGCTTAGCAAGTGCCTGATAGTGGCACTGTGAATTAGCAGAAGGCACTTAATAAATGTTTATTAATTGAATGAATGAATGAATGATATAATGATGATGATTGATAGATAGCATTTATATAGTGCTTTAAGGTTTGCAAAGTACTTTACAAATGTTATCTTTTATCCTCACAACAGCCGTGCAAGGTAGGTGCTATTGTTATTCCTGCTTTACAGATGAGGAGACTATTGCAGACAAGTTAAGTGACTTGCCCAAAATCTTACGGCTAGTAAATGTTTGAGGCTGGAATTGAACTCAGGTCTGCCTGACTCCAGGTCCAGCCAGCTGCCTGTAGTGTGTGAGTTTATGCTAAAAGCAATTCACTTGGCAGTGAAGTAGCTAAGAAGTAAATGCTTCAATATATAGATATTATGCAAAGTGTGCTTTCAGTTGGCTTATTCTAAATATTACTTCTGTCCCTCCAGTCTGCACATTTGTGTGTGTGTGTGTGTGTGTGTGTGTGTGTGTGTGTGTGTGTGTATGTAAATGTGAAGAACATCATAGTATAATAGATAGAGTGCTGACGGAGTCAGGAGGGCCTGAGGTCATACTAGCTTTGTGACCATATGGAAGTCATTTAACCTCACCATGTCCCTGGCAGTTGTCAAAGACTATCATTATGTAAATTAAAGTTGCTGATCTGTATCAGCAGAGTGAGTTTCTATACTAGGAATTATGGGTCTGGACAACATAAATCAACCTAAATCCCTTGTTGATTTCTAAATTACCATAAGGTTTTATAACTAAGGAGTTCTAAAATTTGCTCCAGGGTTGAAGAGATGTGTATTATCACTTATTGCAACAGCCTCCCAGTTGGACCTCCTGTGTCAGGTCTCTCACCACTCCAGGCCATCTCACAGGCTGCTACCAAAGTAATTTTCCTTAAGCACAGATCTAACCTTGTGACTCTCATACTTAGCCAATTCTATTAGATTCCTGTTGCTTCTAGAATAAAATAAAAACTCCTTTTTTTAATTTTTAAAGCCCTCCTCAACCTGGTCCCAGCCTATATTTCCAGCCTTATTGGACTTTACTCCTCCTTCCTCACACAGCCAAACTGGCCTTCTTTCTGTGTCCCATGTAACACTCTCATCTCCTTCTCCATGCTTTTGCATTTGCCATCCTCCATGCCTAGAATACATTCCTTCCTTGCCTCTTCCTCCTAGCATCTCTGACTTCCTTTAAGATGCAGTTCAGATGCAGCCTTCTGTATGAAGCTTCTCCTGATTGCCCCATTTGCTAGTGCCCTCCCTCATATTTACTCCCAAATGAAATTGTATTTAATTTTGCCTATATAGATATCAACATCTATGTGCACAGAATAGTAATGTACATACATATGTAAACTTTATATTTGTGTGTGGATATATATTATGTATGTATGTATATACATGCGTATCTTGATACATGTACATGTGTGTATATGTGTGTGTGTGTGTGTGTGTACTTGTCTACTTTATTAAAATATAAACTCATTGCAATGGGGAACTGTTCCATTCCTTGTATTTGCATCCCCAGCACCTAGCATAGTGCCTGGCATGTATTTAATAAATATTTGTTGATTAGTTGATCGATCAATTCCTTTCTCTTGGGAAGTTAGTGAGGATTTTTGAGTACAAGAAAACAAATTTGAAGAGATATTGGTGGACCTTGGGAGGGTAGGAGGTATACTATTTAAAGAAAGAGTGCCTAACTTTACTTGTCTCCTAATAAGTTAGACACTTCTCCTGCATTGCTACATCTTCTTCTCTCTGTAAGATTTAGAAATCACTTCTCCAGAGTAGGCAGTCAGTGCACTAGAGATTCTTCTTCAATTCTAGTGAGAATACTTAAAGGAAGATTATGCACCAGCATAATTTTGGGAAAGGAAAGGGTAGCCTTGATTCAACAGTGCTTCAGCATCAACATGGCTTCTCAAAGAAAATGTCTTAAAAGTTCTGTTGTACATATCAGATGTAGTACAGTTCATCCCAGGTATGGTACATAATTGGACTTTTATATTAAGCCGCATGTTCCATTATCTGACTCAGATTTAAGATTTTTATTTTTTAAGATATTTTTGTGTTTTTAAATTTATTTTTATATTTTTAAGATTTTATAGACATTCCTGTAAATTATGCAGAATTGATTAGAAATTATATGCTAGTTTTGTTTTATATTTTAGGTATGATTTGCTACTATTTTTATGTGTACACATATGTATATGCATATACATTTATGTTATATATGTATTTCTGTGTTTTACTGTGACTGGCACTGAGGAAAAGTGAAAACTATCAGTTAAATCAGGTAATCACTAAACTATTTTCATTCAAATATTTGGCAGCATTATTTAGATGAGTCCAACAGAGGACATTCTTTCTTTGTGAAACTGATGCCAATCTGAATCCCTTTTGCTGTAATTTAAATATACTTTGGTTTAAATGTCCTTAACCTTATGTAATTAATAGCCTGGATCCCATTTCCTTTCTTCCTCCCTTCACCCCCACCCCCTCCTCATAAGCAGAAAGCTATGGACCCCTTATCAGAATAAAAAAAAGTACATTGGGTGACAAAGGAAACTCAATTATATTGAAATAGAGTTATCAGAACGAATATATTTTTTAAAGTTCAAAGACCCTGGGTAAGAACCTCTGCTATAGCAATATGTTCTTTTGTTGTTGAGTCGTTTCAGTCATGTCCAACTTTCCATGACCCCATGTTGGGGGTTTTCTTGCTAAAGATACTAGAATGGTTTGCCATGTCTTTCTCCAGCTCATTTTACAGATGAGGAACTGAGGTAAGCAGGGTTAAGTGACTTGCCCAGAGTCACACAGCTAATAAGTGTCTGAGGTTGGATTTGGACTCAGGTCCTGCTGACTCGAGGCCTGGTACTCTATCCACTGTGCCACATATCTACCCCAATGTATTCTTATAAATATATTTGAAAAGTGAAATTTTGCTACAGTATCATTAACCATTCCTAGTTGTTATCTTGTCCTTTTTACCAAAAGGCAAAGTTCTTAGGATAGTGATATAACTTACATGCTTCTTTAGGAACATATATTTCCAGTATTTCTTATTTATCCTACTGTAGTAGTCAGCTAGGTGGTGCAGTGGGTAGAGTGCTATGCCTGGAAAGTCAGGAAGACCCAAGAGCAGATCCAGCCTCAGACATTTACTACCTGGGACACCCTGGGCAAGTCACTTAACCTTTGTTTGCCTCAGTTTCCTCACCTGTAAAATGAGTATCATACTAGCACCTACCTCTCAGAATTGTCAGGATCAAATGAGATATTTGTAAAGCATTTGCCCTGTTCAAGAACCTTCTATGACTCCCCATTGACTGTAGAATAGAATATAAAGTATTAAACACATCAGTCTGGTATTTAAGGCTCTCCATTATGTAATCCCACTCTTAACTATTTAATGTTATCTACCACTACTCCCCAGTATGAGTCCTCTGCTCCAGACAAACTCTTCTATGGCAAAACAAAACTAGCAAACTATGGCCCCACCCAAACCAAGGGCATCTCCTAAACATCCTAAAGGCAGAGCCCCTTCTGTATCTCTAGGGTTTGGGATAGTTTTTCAGTGGTTCAACCCCAAGAATTGTCAGACTCTGCTTTTGGGTAAGGCCTGGCCCCTTGCTCCAGCCCTGTCCACTTTAATCCAGCACATGTTTAAGTCGAATACATAGCTAACTTAATTACAGTTTGAGAGAATTTAGGGAATATTGACTGTGTATTTGAAGGACATCAAAAGTAGTCAAGTCTCTGTGTTCCTAGGAAATTTATGATTGATTTGGTTTTTTGGGAGAAGGAGGTAGTTTTTTAAGTGTTTACTGATAGCTTTTATTTTTATATCTATATTTCCCAATATATTCCTCTCCCTACCTCTCCCAGGGAGCTGTCTCTTATAACAAGGAAGAAAAAAGAACAGGAAAGATAAAAAACCAGCAAAACTAAGCAACACCTCAGCCAAATCTTATTTTATATGCAGTGTTCCATAACCATGGTGTTTGACCTCTGCAAGAAAGGGAGGGAGATGCATTCCCATATCTTTTCATGAGAGTCAACCTTGGTCATTATAATTTCACAGCATTCTTTTTAAAGTTTTATTGATAACTTTTGTTTTTCACATTGCCTGAATTTCTCCAGGACTTTATTTTTTAATATTCTTGTCTATTTTTTGAGGGGGAGGGGACAAGGCAGTCGGGGTTGGTCACGTGACTTGCCCAGGGTCACACAGCTAGTAAGCGTCAAGTGTCTGAGGCCAAATTTGAACTCAGGTCCTCCTGATTCCAGGGCCAGTGCTCTCTCCACTGTGCCACCTAGCTGCCCCTTGGCTCTTATTTCTTGCTATTATTTTCATGTCTTTTTGATGACTTCCCTTAGACTTTTTATGTTACGTCCTTCATCCTAGGTTCTCTATCATTGTCTATCATGGTTATTTTTTTTTAAATTTTCTCCAGGTTTTTCAGAATTCTTCCTCTTACTCATCTTATCATCTTTTCTCAAAAAAGTCATTGACGTCTGTAGTCTCCACTTCCTCACTATTTCTTAATCCTTTCCAATCCGCCTCTATTACTTTATAAGAATTACTCTCAATGAAGGTCATCTATGACTTTCTAACTTACATATCATTTAGATTTTTCTCAGTCTCCATCTTCTTCAACTACTCTTAACATTTGATACGTTTGACCATGTAAATGTTATTTAAAAGTTTTGATTTGGACCAGCAATTAGTTTCTCTGGTAGTTCTTTTATAGTTAGTTTAATTTCCTTTTCTGAGATTGAATTATTTAACATCTCTATTTGATGTTCTGTTAATTTGAATGTTTTATATTTTTGTAGGTAGTTGATTTCTTTTAAATGCTCAGATAACTACATGGTAGTTTCTAATCATTCTCTTTTTTTTTCTTCTGAATTTGATGTGATTTCACCCTGTTCATTTATTTGTTACTTTGATTTTCTTCCCTCTGTTTAATCTAGATTGGCTAAAGGTTTATCAATTGTGTTAGTCTTTTCAAATAATCAGCATTTACTTTTGTCTATCAGTTCTATAATTCTTTCAGTTATCTCTTATAATATTCAAGATATTCTCTTTTATATTCATTTTCAGTTTGTTAGCTTAATATATACCTTTAAAAATAGACTAAAAATAGCTAGATGGCGCAGTGGATAGAGCAATTCAACATCAACCACAAAGTTTTCTCTGATTCCAACAACAATTATTCCCTCAGCTTTTCAAAATTGTATCACTTGTAATAACTTGAATAAAGTAATTAAAGTGTCTCCTAAGATTGTCTACATTTTGCTGTTGTCTTCACTTATTCATAGATTTTACCCTCTTTTCAGGTGTCTGGCACAATTTTGTACTTGGAGTTTTAAGTCTTGTGGCTCTCTTTATGCTACCTGTAATTCTTTTCCCACTTTACTACACTGGAGTTGGGGCCCTTGTTCTGGATGTCACTGAGGTAAGACAAGTCAGGCTAATCGCTTGATTAGCAGCAGCAACAGCAGCAAAGATTCTATCAACTCTTGTGTAGTATAATATTCTTTAATGTGAACAGTAATTGTCCATATGTCCCTATGTGCAGAAGACTCACTTGTGTTCAAGAGAAATTACTCCATGCTTCATAGCTCGAGCTATGAAGAACACTAGATTTGTTTAAAAGACAGACTTATAAGATGGCCGAATCCATCAAAGGTAGAATGTGGTGCATGTTATTTATTGGTGAACATAGATGGTTTCTCTTTGTTTAAATTTATAGCTGAACTTTTCAAATGTGATGATTCTTAAGGAATAAAGACATTAAACTGAACCTTGTTTTCTAGTGGAGTTAGTAGGAGGGCAAGTTAATTCCCTAAGTTCAAAAAATACTATGATAGCTCTATAGAGTTTTTGTTTAGATTCTGGATGGAAGAAAACAATAATTTCCAGGCAGAGATAATGATGAGTGAATCATGGAAAGTTTTAGTTAGAAGGAAAAATCTTAAAATTTATATCTATTGAGAAATGTTAATTAAGAGTTTTAAAACAGTTGTCCTTTCGTAAAAGGTTTTAATATCCATGCTCATTGTAGAAGAATGTGTACATGATGTAGTTAGATAAAGCTTTTCAGCTTACCATATTAAATGTGTTTGATGTTGCTGAAAACTTCTAACTTCGATTTAAATAAAATAATGTCGTTCTTTGATTCAAATCAGGCCTAAAATTTTCTGTAGCAAGTAAATTGACTCACCTTTTTTTAAGTACTATATATTTAGAGTAATTTTAAATTGGCTTAAAGGGGCGTTAAGTGAAGATACTTTAAGGATTGTTTCCAACTTGTTTTTCTCTCCACTACCATCTTCCCATTCTTATTCTCAAGGACTCACCTGCTAATGGACCCAGAGGCCTCTTTGTGGGAGACCTAGTCACCCAGCTCCAGGACTGTTCAGTTCATAAAGTGGAAGATTGGAATTCCTGTCTGGGGATCATCTCCCAGGAGCCACAGATTGGTTACTGTATAAGTTCAACAACTTTGCAACAGTTAAGCTTCCCAGCCAGAGGTATGTGTATGCTGGCTATAATAAAACCTGTAATACTGAGCAGTCACTTCTACTTAGAACATGTAATTTCCTTATGGTTTCTTTGTTCAAAGATAGATTTCTGAAAGTTCAGTGGCAATGTACTAAAAAATACTAGTGGTCATTCTCCCTGCTACATTGGATGCTGACATCCAAGTTTCCTTTCTCATAAATCCATTTTAACTTTCTGTCCAATTTTCCTACTTAATTCTTAAATCTCAAGATTACTAAAGTTACTTCTCTATACTTTCAAAAATATGTGTGTACAGTCAGCAGTGATAAGAAAGCTCAGAACTGGAGTAAAAAAGTTGGTCTTCATAATTACTTCTGTCAGAGATGTATCAAAACTTAGATAATTATTATCTTAAGACCTAACAGTATAAATGGTGGCTATGCAGAGAGTAACAATCAGTTATTTTTATAGTTCTTCACAACTTAGAAAAGCCTTTTCATAAGCTTTATCTTACTGAAGTTTTCAACAACTTTATGATCTTGGCAAAGCAGGTATTTTGCCTCCATTTTACAGGCTCAGATGTTTTCTCATATAGGTAGTAAGTGCAAAATCAGGGAATCAAGTCCTGGTCTTCTGACTCGAAAACTTTATCCACTCTGTCACTATTTATTGTCCACTGATTGTAAGAGCATACACATCCACAGATGGTCATTTGGGTAGTATTTTCAACTGTGTCCAGACATATATATTGCTCTGATTCTTTTTGTTTTGTTTTCTTTCTTTCTTGTTTTTTTTGTTTTGTTTTGTTTTTGCTTGGCAGTTAGAGTTAAGTGACTTGGCTAGGGTCACACAGCTAGTAAGTATCAAGTGTCTGAGACCAGATTTGAACTCAGGTCCTCCTGACTCTACTGTGCTACCTAGCTGCCCCTATTGCTCTGATTGTTAGGATAGCACAATTATTGTGCAACTGTGCTGCCCTTAGGGTCCAAGGACAGGCAGAGTCCTTGATGAACACACAAGGCTGACTTTGAGTTTCATCAGCCCCACAGATTCACCAGACCTTTTTTTTGTTGTTGTTGTTGTTGTTGCTTTTTTGGTGAGGCAATCAGGGTTAAGTGACTTGCCCAGGGTCACATAGCTAGTAAGTGTCAAATGTCTGAGGCTGGATTTGAATTCAGGTCCTCCTGACTCCAAGGCCAGAGCTTTATCCACTGCACCATCTAGCTGCCCCAGACTCACCAGACTTAAACATTTCCATCTTGTACCTTAAAAGCTGAAGGAGCCCATCTTACCTAATGTCTGAGACTATAGAAGTTTAGAACACAGGGTTTATCTTTGTTGCTAGAAAGAAGCATCCTGGATTGATGTTTATATCCCTCTTAAGACAAAAGCAATTTGGAGTGGACTATTAATAAAAGTTGGTGATTTGGGTCGTGTATTTAAAAGGGCAGTGGCCTTGGAATCCAAAGACTGGAGTTCCAGCCTGTGTCTGCCATAACTAGTTGTGTGACCCTGGATGAATCCCTTAACTTCTCTGAACCTCAATATGCACATCTTTAAAGTGGTGTAATACCTTTCTTGTTAACCTGCAAGATGGTTATGAGAATTGGGTCAGAAAGCAGATAATTAAAAGCACTTTATAAAATTTAAGTCTTATAAGTAAGTATTAAGTATTAATAATAAGTATTAAGTAATGTCTTAAGTATTATAGGTAAAAGATTAGGTGATAATATTATATATACAGCTTATATATAAGCTTATGTGCATATATATATGCTTACACATATAGCTTATGCACAGCATGATGAAATGGTGAATACTTAGTTTAAAAAAAATTCTTGATCACAAAGATACTAAGATAAGATAATAAGGATGTTCTTCCTTATACCTTCTGTAGGCAGTCAGGTAATAATATAGTTCTTTAAGGTTAATATTTTTATACATTTTTCTTAATCTAAAGTAGATTTAACGGCAACCAAAAAGGGACACCATATTCTTTAACAATTCAAGTAACTAAAGACTATTAAGGGGGCAACTAGGTGGTGCAGTGGATAGAGCACTGGCCCTAAAGCCAGGAGGACCTGAGTTCAAATTCGGCCTCAGACCAAACACTTCACACTTACTAGCTATGTGACCCTGGGCAAGTCACTTAAACCCAATTGCCTTAAAAAAAAAAAAGACTATTAAGCTATCCTTTTGCCCGATGTATCGATAACTAGATAAATAACTCTAGTTATGTTAAGCTTTGCTCAGAAGTTTTGTTTTCAGTCCTGTGTCATTTTCTGTGCTTTCCTGTGATTCATCTCCATCTTAAACTGTGAAATCTCAAGTGACTTATTAATCTAATAAGAAACTTGACCAATTCTGAATTTAATGAGAAGTTTTGTAAGGGTGCCTGCACTGCCAAATGCAACAAAGCTCTTTTCTTATCAGATAGAATTCAGGTAAGAATTTTCTCAGAAATCTTTCTAAATTTTTTCCTTATTGCTTTCATGATTCAAATGCTTTTTGATTGGTATTTCTAAGTAGTCAAAAATGATTACTAATCTTGCCATGGTGGTATAAAACTTTAAAAAATCATAGAATTGAAATCAAAATATATTTCTGTAGCCTTCATTTCATCTGCTTATGGATGACAGCGGTATTATGGCCTGAACACTAGAATAGAACTTGGAAACATAAGAGTTTTAATACCAGCTCCATTACTGTGTTATGTAGTACCTGATAAACCTTTGTCTCAGTTTAAGCCTCTGTTTTTTAGGATGAGGATAATTGGTTCATTTATGGAAATATTGTCTATTCATTTATGAGCTATAAATGGCTTTAAAATTATATTCTAAAATAAAATTATTTGTGTGGCAAATGGGTAGGCAGTTAAGGTAATAAATAAGTCTCATATAGCATTGTGCCTTCATTTGGTTAAAAGTGGATTTTGTGCCCTTTTCAGTAAAATAAATTATAGTCATTTCTTAATGTGAATAAAGGGGAAAAAAATGGAGGCCCTGGTCATCTCAAAGCCATTTATATTAAATATAGAATAAGCTTTTTTATTTTCATTTCAATATTGGCATATAGAATTGAGAGGAGGATTTGTCACAATATTTCCACTCATTAAGCTACTGTGGGAATGATTTCCCTGTTTTGCCTGCCTTACTTGATCCTTCTTCTTGACTCTTTCTTTCCCATACCCACCCTCATTTCTTTGTGTTGGTATATTGGGATTGGATGGTATCATTTCTTAGTGTGATACAAACCACCAGTCTAAACTCTGGCCTTCCCTATGTAGGTAAAGGAAGTAATTAACTAAGCCACAGGTTGCTTAAGACACAAGTTCAGGGAGAGAGAGGGAGAAAATTTGGAACTCAAAATCTTATGAAAGTGAATGTTGAAAACTAAAAATAATTTAATTACTATTTTTTAAAAAGACACCAGTTCAGATAAAGAATAAGAGAACTGTGTTGAACAGCCAGAGAGTACTTGGTTAAGCTAAAAGGCATTTTTAGTGAGAACTTGAAAGTGAAATTTCTGATAGATAAACCCAGGTGTAAATAATCTACCTAATGATACATTTTGTTAAAATTACTAGAACCAATTTCTTACTATCTTAATCTTCACTCACTTCCTTAATTTAGGTTAAATATCACATCATTCTTAACTATTGCCATCCCTCACCCATGAAAGAACAGAATAATCCTGGACAACCCTTGGAGTTGGGGGAAAGATAACACTGGGTCTGGGAGGATCCTCATTGGTCTTGAATTTATCCATGTTAGAGTAGACTTTGGGAAAACTGAGTTTCTGGAAAGGCAATTCAAAGGATTGTCTATAACTATTGTCTGTTCTTGGGTTTATTTTTGTAATCCAGACCTGTGACTTCATTGATGTATGGAAATCCCAGTAAGGAAATTCAACTTATACCAATGCAAATCTGCACCTCTGCAATTTAGCCTTAGAAATTTGTTTGGGGTACTGAGGGTTAAGTGATTAGCCCAGGGTCATAGTGCCAGTACATGTAAGAGACTTGAATCCATGACTTTTTAACTCTGCGGCCAGCTCTCTTCTACTCTCACACTGCCTCTCAGCAGTTGTATATAATAGGCCCAAGAATAGACTAAAATTCCCAGTGTGGTTGTGGAACTAAAAATTCCTCAGAGGGACTTTTCTATAGCTGTTGTACGTCAGAGCAGGCAGAGGCAAACTCTTCTCCCGAGCTCAGCATCCAGATCCAAATTCCCAGATCAACTACTGGTCAGTTGGCAAGACCCTTCTTGGCACTGTCTTGCTCGAACACATCTCCTTCTTAGTGTTTTGAATAGAAATGAAAGTTAATGCTATTCTGATTCTTAGTTGATTGGTTTGTTTTTTTATTTTTTTTTACCTTGAAGGTAGTTCACATTCTCCCTCTTTTTCATTGTTTCAAAGGCATTGCATTTCATATATTCATGGAGCTTAAATTCCTTTTTTTCTTTTTTGAAAGCATTGTGTTGGCTAAGAGGCAACATATTCAGCAAATCCAGCCCTCGATGAACCTACTATTTTAAGGAGAATGGGATTGAATACTAAAGGAGAAAATTGAGATCCCTAAGTGAAGCTATGAGTCAAATCTCACGTATCCCACTTGGACAACCTTAATCCCCATCTAAAGGAGGTGAGGGCACCCTTGGCATATGCCCATAGTGGGATGGGATAGGACTATTATGTTGTCCACCTTAATCTTTACCAAAGGAAGTAATATAGTAAGAACCATCCTAACTTAACTTTAGAGACTAATAAAACTAAAACTCCTTGGACCCTTGTATCCCCACCTCATGTGAGTACTAGGTTGTTCTGTACCCAAATTTTCTCTATTATATGGAATCTAAAGAGTATCTCAGTGCATAATAAAATTAGAGTCATTTGGGGGTAGGAAAGTCTCAATAATATATATCCCAGATTAATAGATACTTGATTTAGTTTGTATACAAATGTGTAGTATAATTGCTGTTTCTTAAAAGTCTTTACATTTGGGGATCTCAAATGATTTGTCTGTAAGCAACATGGATTTGAGCACACTTCAACTAACATTGGCTTGCCTTTGCATCTCCATTCATCTGCATTTTTTTAGTACTTTGCATAAATGCACACTGTTTTTGTTCCTTGGAAATCTTGTTATATGTGCCCTTGGTTGAATAAGGCAGCAGTGGTGGTACTTAATTCCTGTTATTTAAGAGAGTGGTCCTGCACTATATAGATTGGCATTTATTTTCTTCAGTCCACCCTGGACCAAATTATCTCTGAAGAGTCAGTCACAAGCAGCTTCAGGAGCTGTCTGGTGACTAATTCAAAGTAGACTCAAGGGTATATTTGAGCTGAGAATACTGAAATTTACCCTAGAGTAGAATTCTAGGCCTGATTAGTTTTAAGTTTTTCAAGAAAAATGGCTCAGATTAAATTATGATTTCTAGCATCAAACTAGATGGAAGAATATCTCTAAGGCTCATCTCAGTCCCATTCTAATTTTTACCTGCTGGGCCAGAATTAGACTTACTTTCCATTCATTTCATTAAGTACTTATTAAGCGCCTGCCATGTGCAAGGAACTGTGCTATATGCTTGGAATACATAGACAAGAATGAAGCAGTCTCTGCCCTCAAGCAGCTTATAGTCTCTAAATATTCTTAAGAATGAAGTGATATTAGCTAGAATATACAGGGACCACATGTTTGGCACCCCTATTTTAAAGGTTTAAAATTAAGGCACAATAATTTCAGCTAAGTAACACGGTTTTTGTGCTGCCCACCAAAAGATCCAAATTTTAAAATCAATCATATTCATGATTCCCAATCCAGCACTTGATACTTAGTAGGAGATTCAGTATTTTACTTTTGTGATATATCTACCTATTTCTATATCTATATCTATATATCTCTATGCACACACACACATACCTAGAGAGAGATAGAGAGAAAGAATACAGAGGCCACATAGTCATACTCAGTATTTTAGTTATGTAATTTTTTTAAAGAAATACGTTAGTGAAAAATGCCAGGTGTCACCAGTTACAATTACTATCCATTATTAAACTAGAAAATTTATTTAGGTCTTAAGCACAGGTCTAATAATACTCTGTAAACTCCAGTGGATCCTTATTGCCTCTAGAAATAATGATAAACTCCTCTGGCTTTTAAAACGCCTTACAATCTGTCCCCAGCTTATTTTTCTAGCCTCATTATATATTGCTTCCTTTCCTGCACTCTCCAGTCTAGCCAAACTAGTTTTCTTGCTATTTCTCCCGCATAAAACTCTTACCTTCTATATCAGTGTCTTTGCACTGGTCATTCTCTATGCCTGGACTGATTTCCCTCCTCGCCTTCACGTTATAGAATTCCTTATTTCCTTCAAAATTCATTTCAAGCATTACCTTCTACATGAAGCCTTTCTTGATCATCCCCAACTATAAGTTCCCTTTCTTCCTAAACAAACTGCTATTTCTTGTGTATACACATATTTGTACAAGCTGTCTCCCTCAGTAGAATGTATGTTCCTGGAGAGCGTAGACCATTTCATTTTTTCTTTGTATCCTCAGCACCTAGCACAGAGTCTAGAAAATAATAAATACTTAGTAAATTATTGAAAATCGATTGGCATTTGATAATTGAGTGGTAGATAAAATAAGACAAGTAATTGTAAGCATGGTATATACTAGAGATGTCTATGCCAGTAGATGCTTAGGAGTTTGCAGTAAGAATTTCAAGTAAGTAAACATCTTCAACTTCCATTAAAGTCCTACTCAAATGCTTTATTTCATTTTAGTGTAAAAGTTTTTAAAGATTATTCTAGCATGGTACACATTCTGGCAGGCCCTCTCAAGCTGGAAAGGCCCTGAGTCCAGTCCTGGGATGGTCTCTACGCCTTTTGTCTGAGAGCCAGACTCATTCGGTTCACAGAGTTTGGTGGCCAGCAGGTTGGACACTCATTCTTTTTTCTTTTTTTTTTATCCATAACAACCCACAACAATAAAATCGTGGGTCCTAACAGTATTTTAAGCATTCTCAAATACTTATTTTTCTAGCCATTAATAAAAAAATAACCATATCTTAACAACCAAAACAAAGTGGAAATTTAAAGCAACTATCGGCATACTTTGAAAATTTGAACATGATTTACCTAAATTATCCCAATAATTACCTGTATTTTGTACCTTGTTTTCATTATTGACAAATAGCTAACTTGTATAGATAGGGAAGGCTGAAAAAATGTCTTCCCAAAATGGTCTATTTAAAGTGCGTTTGTGTGAGTCTGTGCACACATGTACAAGCATACCTGCATGTGTACATTTCGACAAGATCAAACGGACTAAGTCTTAGATCATTTACATTTCTGGTTTGATTAAAATATTATTAATTCAGATTAATAAGACTACATGTTCAAGAATAAAGCTGTTTTTGTAAGTGCTGGGCTTAGACTTCCTATCAGTGTAAAACTCCAATAGGTTTTCGATCCAAGACTTTCTTCAGTATCATTAACAGGTGTTTTATGTAAGCATTTCTTGGCATGAAAATTTTAATTCCTCTACTCAGCCCAACTCTTACACTTGAAACCTCTGCAACCTTGGACCTCAGATTCTTCATTATTAATTGAAGTGGTTGAATCAGATGATTTTGAAGGTTCCTTGTAGTCATTTTATATAATCACATTTACTAGTATAGCATACATAATATTTTCTAGCTCTTTTATATATGTATATTTGGATATCATTTATTAACATCTAACACATGTAAATAAAAGAGCTGGAAAGGACCTTCAGAGTCATCTTCAAACAATCTCATTTTTTTGATGAAAAAACTAAGATCAAAGGTTATAGAGATTGTAAGTATCCTAGCTGAGCACACTGGAGAGCTCAAAATTTTCATGCAATGCTAAGGATTGTTGAAGTAAAGCATTTGTTGATGATATTAAAGAAAGTCTTGAATTATATAAGATTTTAGGCTGATATTAAAGCTGTACCACAATCTAAGAATTATACATATAAAAGATATAATTTTCTTCTTGAAATATAGTCTTAACTGTCTGAGTATATTAATTTTTAGTTAAATCAGAAATTCTAATTTGTCCTTTATGTCTAATACATTTGAAATTTTAAACATTTAAAGTCAGTGAAGAAGACCAGGAATGATGAAGTGAAATCAGCCTTTTCCCCATGTGGACCAGCAAGCTAGCTTCTTTATCCTGCCCCAAATGGAAGTGATGTCTACTTGTATTCTACCAAAGAACATTTGAAAAAAAAAAATCCATGGACATAAACAGTCTCCCCATCAGCACTTCATTCTAAAAATGGCGACAAAGACCTTCTACATAAATAGCAGCAGACAGTCCAGTTTGGTCACAGTAGGCCCCTTTGAGAAAGTTCCCAAGGTGAGTGGATTTATGGTGGCCAACATCACAGGATCTAAGAATTGCAAGAGACTTTAGAACCCATTTAGTCCAAACTGTACCTGACCAAGAAAGAATCCTCTCTCCAACAGATCTGACAACTGGTCATCCAACCTTTGCTTAAAGACCTCTAGTTAAGGGGCCCCACAGCTTGCTAGGGCAGCTTTTTCTACTTTTGGACTATACCGTTAGAAGTTTTTCCTGATATAAAGCCTAAATCTGCATCTTTGCAGCTTCTACCTTTTGTCCCCTAGTTCACTTTAGGGCCAAGCATAACAAGTCTAATATACTTCTTGAGGCTTGTAATAATGTCTGTAGTGCTAGTTGGGTTCTAGACATTGTCTTCTTCTCTGTTCTGAATTTAGCAGCAATGTAGGCCTTCCGGGGGTAAACTTGGATGAATGAAGTCCAAGGCCTGTTGGACCTACTATATACTGGGCCCGTAGGTATTCAGTAAAGACTTGTTAGTTAATTCATTGGGAGTGATTTAGGAAAATATGCTGAGACTTTAGAGTGTAATTAAATTTCTACAAATAAACCAAACCCTAAGTATCAGTCCTGTTTACCAATTAGAAAAGTGGATATGTGCCTCAAAATATTAAGAAACTATTAAAATCAGATTGTAAAAAACCATTAAGCGAAAATATAAATTATGACATAGCACTCTAGAAGTCATTCAGTTTTTTTCACTTCTAAACCTTTTCACTTTTCTACCTTGAAGACAAATAACTTTATTAAATGTGTTTTTCATATAACTGATTATATCTCTGTCTAGTATACAAAAGGCTCGATGGGACAGTTGAATGCTGTAGCAACAACAGCCTCACAGATGTCTGCTTTTCCTACAGTAATAATGTGGACACTCATTTGGTAAGTAACTCTTTTAGTGGACTGATAAATATCTATCAAAAACAGAATGAGGAAAAATACAACCTGAGCCAAGTATTAGAAAAGGCCTAAAATAATGACTGTAACAACGGAAAAACTAATGAAAGGTATAATTGCTTATATATATATATATATATATATATATATACACACACACACACACACACACACACACACACACACACACATATATATATATATACACATATACATATATACATATTATATATAATGTATATATTGCCTTCAGAAAAATAATATCCTAATGCCTTATTAAAGGAGGCAGGTGTACCAACTCCTAGAAAATTTGTCATTGGAACTCAAACTTTGGCCAGACCCAGAAAGCTAAAAAAGGATGCAAGTTCAAGTATGATGATAGAGTATCCAAGGACCAGCCTGCTTAAATTTAAAGAGGTTCCTCACTAGAAGGCTGTCTGACTACCAGTAATGATTTTTGTTTTTTGGCCACAACATCTTATGAAACCATCTGCTGAGGAGGGGTTGTGATCTGCATTGATGGAGGAAATATCCACCCAGGTGAAATCATGGATCTTTGGGAGTGTTTGAAGGATAAAAATGAATACAGGGAATTAAAATAGAATTTTTATTACTATTACTTCCATTTTTGTCATCTAATATTTAGTCAGAAATCCAACACTCTTTCCATTATACCATATTTTAACAACAAATCCCAACATTTTCACATTTGACTTTTTTTTTGTGTGTCAGAGACAAAATGAATCTTCAAAAGCATCAAAATCACAGAAAATTAGAGCAGTAAGGGACCTCGGAAGTCATCTAATCCATCTCCTATTTGAAATCTGAATCCCTTTGAAATACTGAAATAGTTTGGCTGGGCAGTTTCAGCAGGTGAAAGTGTTCTATTAGGGGAGCTCACAAACCTCAACATGCAAAGGTTCAAATCAGTGTTAAAATTTGGCAAAGTAGTTTAGACTCACTAACCTCATTATATTCATTTAACTTCTGTTGTTTAGAAGCAGTTTTTTTTTCTTAAAATCACTATTGATGACTTAAAGTCCTTATTCATTGCTTTTAAGCAGATTTTAATTTTGAGGTTCAGCGCATCTGAAGCCTCATCTGAGGCTTTAATGTTAACAGATCCCAGTGCCTCAGAGCAGAGGTGTCTTGAGGCAACACTCTCAAGTGGGCTGGAACCAGATTAAAATGTGATTATTTGACAAAATAAATTTAAAATACAGCAAAACATAATAATGTTAATATATGATTTTCTAAGTTAATATATAGCCCAGATGGGTTCATATGTACAGTTTAATGACCCATTTCTATTTGAGTTTGATACCACTGCCTTAGAAGACCTGAATAAATAAGCCAACCAGGTCTAAAACTAGGGTATGGTCCTGGGGACTCTGGATAACTAGTGTACCAAAAGACAGCAGACTGACTGATGGTAGTCAGAAATTAGCAAGTTCTTCCAGTTCCCTGGCCCCATGTTTGTAAAAATATATTCCTGCGTAAAATGTAATATGCAGTATAAGATAAGATTAGAAAGGTAAGGAATGACAAGGGTCCAAGCTTCCATCACCTCCATTGATGCAAAATACAGCATGATTTAGTACCTACTCTTTTTTTTTTGTTTGTTTTTTGTTTTTTAGTACCTACTCTTTCTGAATTGTTGTGGCTGAAAACTTTGATCACCTTCTGGTGATAAATCTCAGAACTTAACTAAGCCAGTACTCATTTGACAGACATGGTGTTCTCTGCTAAATCCACAATCAAAGTCTTTCCAACTTGGTAAGGCTTCACTTGTGCTTCCTGGCACATCCCCTTTGTTTACCCAAGGTTACCATCATACCATAATAAGGCATCAGATGAGGATTTTAGTGGAAAAAAAGAACTTTCTTTTCTTTTTTTTAGGGATTTAGTTTCCTGCATTTCCATAATCTCTTTCTTACCTCTCAGTGTCATTGATTCAGTAGCAATTAGAGGAAGACATACCTGCATTAAGTACTCCTTTATTTTACTGGAATAATTTCTACTAAGGCCAAACTTCTTGCCCTCTCAAGTCAGAACTTCAGAGCTGCAACCCCTTTGTTTAATTTCCTCATTTGACAGATAGGTGAACTGATACCAAGAGGGAAAATGTACTTGCTCGTTGTGGTGCTGTCTTAAATAAGGAGCGTCCTCATAATTAGATGAATGATGGTAGCATTCTATTTATATGAAATGTTTCTCTTATAGCATCTGAAGCCTTTAGGCTTCAGTTAGGGTGTAAAAGGTGTTATTAAATGTGTAAATATCACCACCAAAACAAGGTGAATTGCTCAGATATGAAAAATGAAAGATAGCTTAAGTGATACAATAATATCTTCAATGTACTAAAGAACCTGAAGAAGACTTCCCATGTGTGGGGTAGTACCTCTATGAAAGACACAGAATAAAAAAACCTGAAAAAGTACCCAGATCTATGAAATCACAATTCTTTAAAAGCAGGAATTCTTAACCTGGAAGTCCACAGGCCCGCAAGGAGTCAATAGAGAGGTATCAGGTGGTCTGTGAACTTGGATGGGAACAAAAAATTACATCTTTATTTTCATTAACCTTTTATTGAAATGTATTCCTTCAATTGTGAATTTTTTAAAGTTATTCTAAGAAAAGGGTCCGTGGCTTTACCAGAATACAAAGGGGTCCATGGCTCAAAAAAAACTTAAAAGAATCAAAATAAGAGATGTGCTGTATCATCTTGTATGAGAGAATTTAACTTGCTACATTTTTCCTGAAAATAAATCACTTTTGTTTTTATAAGGAGACATAATTGGCATGGTTATGACTCATACCTATGATCTAATGTGTTTGATTTTATGACTAATTAAAAATGTATTTCTAGTATGCTTGTCTGCCAGCCCGGAAAACAATTGAAGCTAATCAAGTGTGTAGAAGTAATGCAGATTGTCAAAAGGACTTTATTTCAAGTTTATGTGTAATACCGTCTTTGGAAAATCAAACTCGATTAATTAGAGTGAAACACTCACCTCAGATTGATATGCTGTTTGTAGGACATCCGCTGCACCTTCAGTACACAGGTTAGTAATTCTGTTAGGATCTTGGAGAATACCTGAAATACCAAATACACTTGGAAAATTTTTTGTACTGATTCTGTTCTAAAGTAAACAGTTTTGTGTTTTGTTTTTTTTTCCCCCAGAGGCTGCTCTGAGAATGTGCTCAAAGCAAGCCAAATTAAATCTAGGTGAGCAAACCAGAAGTGTTCTTAGAATGCTTGCCTGGCCATTCTTCTCTGAATCCCTGAATGATATATAATAGTGAAGAGGGGCGTAAGATCTTTCTTTTCCCACCAGCTGTAGCTCTCCTATATGTCCACTTCAAATATTGAGTCTTTTGTGTTAGGTGTCAGTGTGGGATAGCCACCAGCTCATCTAGCTCCCCCAGTACTTCTGAGAGCCACTTAAGGAACTAGTACGTGGACCAGGGTGACACTGTCAGTAGACAAAAGTCAAACGGTCCCTATTCATGGAGCTTGCATTCTATTGGGGGAGACAACATGTCTCTTATTGTAAGATATGAAACAATATGTCTCAGAAGAAATTTATACTAAATTAATACTAGGGAATTTTGGAAGGGAAGCACTAGCTGCAGTGCTTTCAGGATAGGCCTTATAGAGTTTGAGCTCAACTTTAAAGGGGATTTTAAGAGGCAGAGGTGTGGAAGGATTGCATTACTAGCATAGAGGAGAGATTTTGCAAAGTCGTGAAGATAGAAGCTAGGGCATCCTCTACTGAGGAAGGAAAACTTCTAAGAAAGAAATTCTGAAGACACAAAGGAAAACCATTCTGAGGTGGAGGAAAAGGGAGAGCTGTACAAAGAGACCCCTGTGTATATACAGGGAACTCGGCAAACAATTTGGATTTAAAGATGTAAATTTAGACTTGTCTCCTTTTTCTTACTTCTCACACATAGCAGCACATAGGATCATAGCTGTAGAACTAGAAGGATCTTTGACGTAGCCTAGTCCAACACCATATTTTATAGATGACGAAAATGAGACTCAAAGAGTTAAGTGACTTATTCAAGGTCACATTAGAAGTGACAGAGCCAGGATTTGAATCAGGGTCTTTTGATTCTGAATCTATTTCTTTTTCCACTATTTCTAAGAAAATTCTTTGGTAACTTCCAGCTTTAAATACCCTTAGAAAAGCCCAAAGGCAGACCTACTTTTTCTTGCATCCATCCCTCTAATGTGTCATGATCAGAGCTGTGGTTTGTTTATTTAATAAGTATGTTCTATCAGTGTCATTTGTCCTTACCTCACAGTAGTTTGTGGAATAAAAGTCTCTCCCTATCCAGATCAACCCCTCCCTTGAGCCATAGAAAAATCAGCAAAGAAACCAGTTATAATGACTCCATTTGTATGTAATGTTCTGACTTGGTAGTCTCCTGTCTGTCTGCTGTGGGGAAAGTGACATTTTTCATTTTCTCTTCTCTGTTATTGGTTTTCTAATTACTTAGTCCTGCTTTTTGATAGTGATCTTTTTATTTAGGTTATTGTAATCTTATATAGTGTTCTTTTGATTCTGCTTTTTTTCACTCTGTAGCATTTTCTCTATTATTTTTCCATATTTCTTTGAATTCCTCATATTCATCATTTTACTACACAATAATATTCACTAACGTTCAGATACCGTAGTTTTGAGTAGTTTGGTTTATTTTTTTAGCCTTTCCCCAAAGATCATCTACCTTGTTTCCAGTTCTTTAGAACCAAAAAGAGTGGCATATGTCAGACTTTTGGCTCTGTCTTTGACATCCTTGAGGAAGCCCCAGTGGCACTAGTTGGATCAGAAATTATAGATGGTTTCAGAGCTTTGTTTTAAGAAGATTAATTTAGTAGTAGGGTTCTTAACTCATTTCAGTCTGCATTCCAACCCCACCACTCAATAAAAATTCTCTCCAAGATTGCCAGTGATTTCTTAACTGCTGAATCCAGTGTATCTTCTTCTAAGACTTCATTCTACTCAGCTTCTCTGCAGCTTTTGGACATTCTTCTCCTCTTACGCATACTCTCCTCCCTTATATTCTGTGATACTGCCTTTTCTTGATAATATTCCTTGATAACTACAACTTCTCAGTCTCCTTTGCTGGCTCATCCTATCCATTAAGCATGGGGTACCTCATGACTCCTTCCTAAGCTCATTTCTCGTGGCTTTCTACCTTTTTGGTAATCTCACCAGCTCTCATCAGCTGAATTACTAGTTCTATGCAGATGATTCCCAAATCTCTATGCCTAACCCTGATCTCTCTTCTGAACCCCACTTCTGTATCACCAACTGTTGTTGGATATGTCTCTTTGGAAGCATCTTAAACTGAGCATGTCCAAAATGGAACTCAAAATGATCCAGAGCTAGAGGGGTAGCTAACGAAATGAGACAGTATCCAAAAAGATCATAGTAGGCTTAGAACATTGGATGAATCAAATACATGTAATTCAATAGGGATCTTACTGAATCTTATATTTGGGTCAAAAAAATCAACTTCATAAAGTATAAATCGGGGAGGCATTTTTTGATAGAAGTTTGAATAGTATCTGGTGGTTTCAGTGAGCAAGAAGTTCATGATGAGTCAGTCAGCATTGCAATGTGACAGCCAAGAAAGCTAATAAAGTTTGGGGCTGTATTAAGAGAGTTACAGCTCCCAGAAAAGGTGATAATCGCTCCATACTCTGTCCACGTCAGACTTCATCTGGAGTACCGTTTTCAGTTTGGGACACCACAGTTTAAGAAAGATATTACTTAGCTAAAATGTTCAGAGGAGGCCAAGCAGGATGGTATTGGGTCTGAGTTCATAAAATGAGTATTAGTTGAAGGAACTAGGGAGATTTAGCCTGAAGAAGATATGACATTGATGAGGTATGATAGCTATCTTCAAGCATTTGGAGGGTTGTTATATGAAAGAATGATTACACTTATTCTGTTTGACTCCAGTGGGAGAATCAGGAATAATACATGGAAGTTGCAAAGGTACAAAGGTTTGAGGAAAAACATTTCCTAACAATTCAAGTTGCCTTGAAGTGGAAGGACTTCTTTATTAGCAGGTTCCCTGTCTTTGGAAGCCTTTTTTTTTTTAAATTTATTTATTTTGATTTATCAACAATCACTTCCATGAGCTTTTGAGTTTTAAATTTTCTCCCCCTCCCTCCCCAAGACAGCTTACAATGTGATATAGGCTATACATATACATTCCTGTTAAAGATATTTTTACATTGGTGATGTTGTAAGGAAGAATTAAAACCAATAGGAGGAACCATCAGAAAGAGGAAACAAAACAAAATAGAAGGAAAAAAAATAGCAAATAGTATGCTTTGATCTGCATTCAAACTCCACAGTTCGTTCTTTGCATGTGGATAGCATTTTCTATCATGAGACCTTTGGAGATGTCTTAGATCCTTGCATTGCTAAGAAGGGCTAAGTCTATTAATGTTAGTCATTGCATAGCATGACTGTTACTATGTACAATGTTCTCCTGGTTCTGCTCACTTCACTCAGCATCAGTCCATACAAGCCTTTCCAGGTTTTTCTGAAGTCTGCCTGCTCACCATTTCTTATAGCACGATAGTATTCCATGACATTCATACACCCCAACTTGTTCAACCATTCCCCAATTGATGGACATTTCCTCAATTTCCAATTCTTTGCCACCACAGAAAGAGCTGCTATAAATATTTTTGTACATGTGGGTCCTTTTTCCATTTGTATGATCTCTTTGAAATACAGCCCTAGAAGTGCTATTGCTGGGTCAAAGGCTTTGGAAGTCTTAAAACAAAGGTTGGATGACCCAGATTGTTTCAGGGAGAATTCCTTTTCAAATGTAAGTTGGACTAGATGGTCACTGAAGCCTGTTCCAACTCTGACATTTAATTTTGTGATTCATTATATTTCCTTGAAAGCCATCCTTCCTCCAATTTTCTCTATTTCATAGTGGTCTCCATGGTAGGGCTCATGACTTGACACCTTGGAATGTAAGGAGAGGGGTCTCATCCCACTCTTCTTAAGATGAGCAATCATTGGACTTGTCTCTAACACAACCAACTCCTTCATCAACTATTCAGGCTCCAACTCCTCACCCCAATGTTGTGCATTGGCCCTTTAGGGCAAGTATAACCTATTACTCAGGAAGCCACAGCCGCAGCTGTGTGACATTGGAAATTGAAAAAATTCCACATGCACATACTCCAAAACATCTGCCCCCTGGATTACCTCATGACTGTCTTAAATAAGGCCCTCTGGGCAAAGACCAGTGAGGAAGAAAGAGTCCTGCCTCTCCTTCCTTCTCATTTCTTCTGTGGAATAAAGTGAGTCACTAAGGATGAGCCAAACCCAGACCCATTGTAATCTACATTATCCATTTCATGACATTATCTTTATTCCAAACCCGCCCCTTGATCAAATTTTCCTATTACTCTTCAGGGCACTACTGTTTTTCCTTTCCTCAGGTTCACAACTTGAGTGTCATTTTAACTTCTCACTCTCCCTTTCCCCAGAGAGTCAATCACTTGGCAAATTTGTCATTTGTATAACATCTTGTGTATATATATCTCCTTCTCTCTACTCATACACCACCCATTGCCTTACACCTGGACTATACTGTAGCCTTTTTTTAAAGAAAATTGTATTTATGTCATTAAATATTTTCCAATTACATGTAGAAAAATTTTTTACATTTATTTTTAAAAATTGAGTTCCAAATTCTCTCTCTCTCCCTTCCTTGAAAAGACAAGCAATTTGACATCAGTTATATGTGTGAAGTCATGCAAAACATTTCCATATTGGCCATGTTACAAAAGAAAACAGACAAAAAAAAACACACAAAAAAAAAGTAAAGTAAAAAAGTATGCTTCAATCTGCATTCAGAATTCATCAGTTCTTTCTCTGAAAATGAATAACATTTTTCATCATGAGTCCTTTGGAATTGTCTTGGATCATTGACTTGATCAGAGTAGCTGAGTCTTTCATAGTTGATCATCTTCACAATATTGCTGTTACTATGTACGTGTTCTCCTGGTTCTATGCTATAACCTTCTAATGGATCTCCCTACTTACATTCTCTCCCCCTCTCTAATCCTCCTTTCACGTAGCACCCAAATAAATACTTCTAAGACACCTGTCTGACCATGTCAGTTCCCTGCTCAAAATCTTCAGTGGCTATTTATTGTATCTAGGATCAAATACAAACTCCTCAGCCTAGCATTTAAAGGCCTTCACAGGCTGGTTCCTGCTTTTATAGACATTTCATATTATTCCCCTTCACTCACTCCATGTTGTTATTCTAGACCAACTATCAACATGTCATCTACCATCTCTGTTCCCACACTCTGGAAATGTATTTCCTTCTCATCATTTCCTCTTAGAATTCCTACATTTCTTCAAGCTTAACTCTTTAATCAACTTAACTGATGCTTTCTACTCAATGGGGCAGCTAGGTGCCACCGTGGGTAGAGTGCCAGGCCTGAAGTCAGGAAGACTCATCTTCCAGAGTTCAAACCTGGCCTCAGACACTAGCTGTGTGACCCTGAGCAAGTCACCTAACCCCATTTGCCTCAATTTCTTCATCTGTAAAATGAGCTGGAGAAGGAAATAGCAAAGCATTCCAGTATCTTTACCAAGAAAACCCCAAATGGGATCATAAAGAATTGGACATGACTGAAACAACTGAATATCTACCCAAAGCCCATCTCCCTCCTGAAATTACTTTGTCTACATAAGTGTTTTATCTCCCTCCCAGTATAATATAAACTCTTTGAAGGCAGAGATTTTTAGTTTTGTCTTTGTGTCTCTGGCACCTAACACAAGACCTTGACCATGCTTAAAAAATATTTGCTGAATTGGGTTACATTTTTTTAAAGATGTATACAGAAAATGGAAGCCAGGGCAGGTAAGGGAGTATGAATATATAAGAATAGCATGGTCCTTTAAAAATAGTATTGAGAGCTAAGTCTCAGAATGATCTGGGCCTGTTGTGGAAAGCTAAAGACAAGATGTGGCCGTTGTAAAGGGGATAACACTCATTTTTGGTGTCTGGTTTCTGGTATATTTTTTTTTTTAACACATTCAGGATACACTCAGCTTTACCCCATTTCTCACCTTAAATAGATAGGAGTGTATGTTTGGAATTACACTCTGTGTTCTATTACTATATATTAACCCAAAGCAGCACCCCAAGAAACAGTGGGATTCTTTCCTTTTTTTCTATTTCTCTTGAAGCACCTAACCTTCCTAGGTAAATTTGAGGATGAACTTCCTTTGGTATTATATTTTTGCCCAATCTCTGATTGGGAGGTTGAAGAAGCCTAATCAACTTTGGATAAATGCATATATCATTAAATATATGCTGTTTGTTGACTCATTAATAATATTTGTAATCACCACTTTTTTTTTTTTTTAGTGAGCCTCAGCAGTTTCATCCCACGGTTCAACTTTCTAAGCATTGATCTACCTGTGGTAATAGAGACATTTTTCAAGTATCCTTTCAAGTGCATAAGTAACTTTATACAAAAGGTTTGTATGAAAAGTGTGTTGCTTAGGGTCTGAACACAGAGTAATTAGGCAGCAGGGCATAGGTCCAATAACCCTCTGAATTTGAGTCCCAATTGTATCACTTACAACCTGTGTCATAAGGCAAGTCACATAACTTTTATGAACCTGTTTTCTTCTATGTAAAGTGGGCCGAGTAATACTGGCCTTTCTCACAAGGATCAACTGAGATCATGTGTGTTTAAATGCTACATAAATATAAGTTTTTATCCATAAAATAGATGAAGACCTGACAGGAATCTCTATGCCGAAAGAAGTCATTTTAAAACTGGATAGGCATTAAAAGTGTGCTTGAATAGAAGACAGGGAACAAGATTTCTAGGGAGAAAAATAAAAGATAAAATATTCTGGGGAATATATAGAAGCCACATTAGAGTCGGATGGGTGAATCTGAAACCTTCCTATTTATTTGGCTTACAGCTGGTTATCGCAGACGGGTAAAGCATCTGAGTTGTTAATGAAGGCAGAGGTATGCTTTGTGCCCCCATTTGGGCCAGTTCATTTGGTTGCCTTTTTATCATGGCTGCAGACTATTTGCAAACACAGTTAGCTATTTGTCTAATCTGTGCCATTAAGGGGGAGCATGCGGCTAAAGAAGAGCTGTAGAGAAAAATAAGTGGAATAGCATCGATCTGTTGTCACTGCACTCAGTCCAATCACATGGCATATCAATAGTGTCTTCTTTATATGTGAAAGACTGGGGTGGGGGGAGGAGGGAACAGAAATGAATGCGATAACCAGGTTTCAATAAACTAGATGGTTAAGTAGAACATATATTTTGAACACATTTGTTTGTATTGGTTTTCTACTTTCCTGTGTTTCTTACTTTAAAGGTTTAACAGAAAAAGAAAAGGAAAAAGGCTATATAAGTAGTTAATTCAAAAGATACCAAAAAGACTATGCCATATATCCTGTAATCTTTATTTGTATGGCTGCTATTGTCTTAGGAGAGAATTATCCCTCTACACCCTGCCTCTAAGAAGTTACGTTGACTAATGTTCAAGAAACAAAAACTTTCATTTGTCCCATCATATAACCTACACAAGGTCAAAAAGTAATTATTTTCCACTTCTTCTCCCTCCCCGACTATTTTCCTTTTTGTATCATTATAGTCAGAATTATACAGGCTGATGCTAAAGGAAGATGTAAGTTGTCTTCTTTCATTAGCTATGTCTTTAAGCTAATTGGGCCTAAAAATATGTTCATTTGATTGTCAAAAAGGCATAGCCTCTTCTGTATTGCAAAAGCTTAGGAAAAGAGTGATTTCACTTTTAAATGGGAAAGACCACTGTAGTCTTACATGTCAGTGTGTTGAAATTTTTCTCTCAATTGTTCAAGTATGGTTTTCAATGGTATACACATTGTTCATCCCTTTACTGTTTATTCTGCTTAACTACATATAATCAGATACCTGATTTCACTCTCAGGAGCACTGGCTGTCATCAATGCTGTACCCTGCTTTGCTTTAGATGGACAGTGGATGTTAAACTCTTTTCTTGAAGCTACCCTTAGTTCACTGATCATAGACAAGCAAAATAGAGATTTGCTAGGATTTTTAATCTTGCTTGCTGGTAGTACACTTTTGGCTGCCAATGTGGCCCTGGGACTCTGGATGGTGACAGCCCGATAATACATATATATATGTATGTATGTATCTGGAGTCATTTGACAAAATCTGTGAGTTGTTACAATGTGCCAAAAAAAAAAACCGTAACATTTGTTGCTGATTAAAAAAAACTTTGCTTGGTTTGAAATATAAATAACTTCCTTAAAACTCTCTTAATCAGCACCATTTAATGAGATCCTACTAAATCTAAAGGTCTGTACTAGGTATTCTTCACAATACCTTTTGTTACCCCACTGATAAAAGAAATAAGAAAGACCTGATCTCTGACCTCAAAGGATTTCAGTCTGTTTGTGACAACTTTTGTACATTAATTTGGACTTTATAAGTTCATCTGTAAAAAAAAAAATATTTGTCATCATATCTAAGCGGTATGTTACCTTGGGATAAGGGAATGAATAGAGGTGAAGAGGTGAACTTATATTAGGTTTTGAAGGAAGCAAGAGATATTCTGTGGCCACACTGAAAGGGTAAGAATTTCCTAGGCTGGCCCGTCACAACTGAATCAAAACATCTTTGGTCTGCAATGTTTTTAATTTAGTGCTAGATTATTTGTCACAGGAGGAAACTTGGGTAATAGAGAAAGGTCTAGCCTCTGAGTCAAGAAGACTTGGGTGCGAATCCTGAATCTACCATATAACTGGCTTTGTGACCCTAGACAAGATCTACGCAGTATGCTAAGACTATAAGTTACAGAATTGTTACTGATTAACATTAGTACAGGGAGTTTTCCTCAACATAAATTCCCTACATCTACAGATCCAGACCAAAAATTATGTTTCTTTAAAGCAGCTTTGATTAAACATTCTCTTGACAAAATTTTGTTTACATAAATATGGTGTTAAATTTCCCTGAATTGTTCAGGGACGTGTGTGTGTGTGTGTGTATGTGTGTGAGTGTGTGTGTGTGTGTGTGTGTGTGTGTGTGTAAATTAATGACATAAAAAGAAATAAAAATCTAGACATTATTTTTCAAGCCCTGTGTCTCCAAATATGCTTGGAGACTAAAAAAAGTAGATGCTGAGACCTACCACAACATGAGGTTTGTTTTTTAACACTTTGTAACAACAGTTAATTATTAAATAAGATATTACCTTATCTTTAAAAAGCAGCCTTAATGGTGAGTTTAGTTGTGAGCTTCAAGCAAAAATCTTTGTCTTGTATAACATTCCATCAGTCTACCTTGATAGTGTTTTTAAACCTACAAATCACAGTATAGGTATAGGTATTGGTTTATGGGTACCATGTTGTTTCAGGGCTCTTACTCTCCTGTGCTTGGCAAGTTGGACTGGAGGCTGTCTTTCCTCTAGAATAATGGCATTTGTGGCTGTTTCAATTAGTCCTAGCCCTGATGTCAGAGTTATACAATAGGAGCTACTTTTCAGGGGAGGCAGCTAAGTGAGAAGGTAGAAATACAGGAATGGGATCCCATTCCAGCCCAAACAGATCCTTGAGTTTGATGTCAAAGAAAAATCAAAGGCTAGATGAGATTGGGTCTTATGACCTTATTATGGCTAAATATCAGTATAGCTCAGCTGAGCCATTCTGGAAATAAGTGGTCTCACAGCTACTAGGCCTTAGGAGAGGATTATCTATTCTTCCAGGAAGAGGGAAGGTTGATTAGCCACTTGGGAAGGGTTCTTTGAATCCACTCCTCCCCTAGATACTAGCAGTGTGACCATTTGTCACAATACATGTATAGAAAGAATCTCCCTCAGTATTCTGTTCCTGAATAATTACAAAATAAAAGTAATCCAAATAATTGCAAAATTCCTGAGGAAAAGGGTTCTAATTGTTCAAGACAACTTGCTATTTACAGTTTCTCTTATCTCTTGAGTCCTTTCTTTGGCCTGTTCAGCTTATGTGAAGCCCTTGACAACTGCAGGCTCTTCTCTTAGTTCCTAATTCTCCCCTTGAACATAGTTTCCTCCCTATTTTGGCTGCCCTTCTTATCCTTCATTGAGTCACAATCTGTCCTGTGTCTCATGACATCTTTTCTTCCTTCCCTTTGGATTTCATATACCTCTGATATTTGGAGAGGTAGCTAAGGAAGGGATGGACTCCATTATTGGACCAATTTTTTTGATCTATCACAATCATGACAAACTAGGGTTTCTGATGTCCTTTGTTTACGGTGATTTTTGAGCTTAGAGTCATTTCTCAGAACATGGTAAAACCATTTCCACTTTAGATTTACAGCTTTCTAGTTTCTTTTTTGGGATCTCCGGGATGGACTCTGGCTCAAAATTACCCAACCTGACTTAGAGTATACAGAACTGGACAACCACCTGGAGAATCTGAGAATGGCCTTTTTAGCAGAGGAAGGTAAACATTTTTGCCTGGAAGCAACTAAGGAATGCTTTTAAGGAGGTTAATGCAAATTCAGAATCAAGCTTGTAAGTGTTATGTGAACAATGGTCAGCCTCTTGGGATCCTCATAGAGTCCATAGGTATAGGAGGCTTAAGCTAAAGTGGGTATTATATGTAAGTGCAATCTTTTATGGAGTCCTAGAAGTCTATCTTTTAATGAAACAACCACACTGGTTCTATTATTTCAACAGGGAATAATTATGAAAAGTTTTCCAAGACCTCCAAGACACCATAAAATGCAAGGAAAAGAACTGTGTGTCAAAGGACCCTGGATAAGCTAGAGGACTAGAGAAATAAGTTTTTTCTATATCAGATAAATGCAAAAATGATGACTCCTCACAGTTATTGAGAATGAAATCATAGAAGACAATTATGCGCAGTCTCAGAAAAACATCCCTTGATGCCACTTTGAGAAATAGAAAACTAGAAAGAGATCATTGCCTTGGCTATAGTATGGAATTTGTTTTATTAGATGAGTTCACTAGCAAATTGTGTAAAGGGTGGTATTAGATAGAAATGTGTGTAAGATGATCACAATTAAAGAGGGATTTATGGAGTCGGAAAACATACTTCTGTGTTTAAAATGGCAAAATGTACCATTGAACAGTCACTGTGCAAAAGTTGTATAAGTTGTAGTTTTCATATCGCTTCTCTTTCATGTGGGATATCCATTTTTTTAATTGCTTAGCGTGATTAGAAAATTGGATTCTTTTAGGGATGAAGAAAATTGTCTTTGTGCTGCCATTTAATTTAAGCAGGGAAACCTTATTTTCCAACTCTGTAGTGTTCTAACTATGGTGCCATATTTATATTTTTCTTTTTTTCCTTAGAGATGTTATATAAAGAATTTGTTTTCTGTAAAACATCTCTGTAAAGGAATTTGTAAAACATACAGCATTTTACTTTTCTGGTCATATTTCTATAGAAATCATTACCTTATTCCAACCTGAAATATGTGAATATATTTCTTCTCAACTTGTTGGGCTCAATCACAATCATCAGATTGCATGTATTAAATGTCCACATGTAAGTGATGCATAAGTATTTTTTTCCTAAAAAACTCTTTGACTATACTATATTAGATATACAGTGAATCCTTTTTTGGGGGGCATGGGGGGTGGAAGATACGGCCAGGCATGGTGGCGCATGCCTGTATTCCCTACTGCTGGGTGAGGCAATTCTGAGCTGTATCAGGGCCAAAGACAATCAGGTGTCTGCACTAAATACAGTACCAACATGGTTAGCCCCTGGGAGAGGGGGACTGGTAGGCTGCCTAAGCAGGGTCTAACCGGCTCTGGTCAGAAATAGAGCAGGTCAAAGTTTCCATACTGATCAGTAGTGAGATTAACCCATCAGTGGCTGCTGAACTTCCAGCCTAGGCAAAATAAGAGGACCCAGGCTCGCCTCCTTCCCCAAAAAAAAGTTACGCTTCAACTTGAAGACAACTTAATTGCTGGCAACTGTTGTTAATAAATAACATCGTGGAACCATATTTTGTACTTTATACTGACTTGATTCCATTTCTTTCTGATCATATATATAAAATAATTCTCCTCTGATGATTGAATAATATCTTAATTGTCTATAATCTTTTCATATTTTTGTCTAAAATGAAACCACTCCTACTGAAAACAATCACTGGTTCTCTGTTAATTTCAGACATTTTGGTTATTGGTGCAAACTCTGAAGCCTGTTCTAGATTCTCTTCCTTTGCAGTAACTACTTTTATGCCTATGGTTATGTATTTATAACCTTTGGATATAGCTGAGTGCTTTATTTGCACATAACAAAATAAAAATAATTTTTAAAAAAATTTTAATTTAATTAGTTTTTTAATTTTTTCAGTTTTTAGAGGTTCAGAGGAAAGAGATTTTAGCTATTAGTTGTATATTGTATCAAGTTCTTAAACCTCCATATCTAATATTTCTTTCAAAAACTTTTCCACTCAAGCTCTGGCTGTATTTCATAAAGCCGAGTTAGCTGCAGTTATCAAAACAAGTTAGGAACAGCTGTCATTTTACTTTGTGCAAATGGGACCACTGGCTAGGAGAGTTTTCATGCCTGAATTGTTTTACCTTGTAATAACAGATTCTGTTCTCTCTGCTATAGATAAACCCTTCTATATTCCTGAGCCCTTTTCAAGCTTGAGTTCTATGTTTATGATGAACAGTAGAAGGAATAGGACTTCTCTAGTATACGAAAGTTAGGAAGGAAAATCAAAATGTAATTTATAGTACTCAGGTTTATAGTCCATCTTGCTTGGGTTAAGTAGGAAGTGTTTTATTCCTGGACTACTGGTCTGCTGCTGAATTGAATAAATTCATCATTTCCAAAGAATGGGGAAAATTAAATAGGCTATATGGTTACATTTTATTTAAGAGACAATAAACCTATTTTAATCTATGTATGTAAAATGTTTATTTTGCTTCTGAGGCTTCACTGATTTGAATGATCCATTGTATATTTTATCAGAGCATGGCAAATGAATTCAATGAAAGGAAAACCTCTCTTTCTGACCTTATTAATTGTACAATAGGTTGTACTTCTTAGGGTGGAGATAGAGAAAAATGGATCCAGGAAGCTGCAATTCTAATTACCCAGGTTCACCATTGTGTGATTTACTTTAGTATTAAAGGGGGAAAACGCCTTTATTTCATGACTCTGAGTTTCAGGAGATGATGAATTTCATCTTCTGCTGAGCTTATTTGGTTCAAC